TAAAATTATTAAACGAATCAGTCATGTAGATAAAGAGATTATAATTAATGATTAATATGGAATTAATTAATACAAATGTTAATTAAATTTTATCTATGCCATTTTGCATAATCAAATTGAGAATTAGGATAATAGAATTTCTTGGAAAGATTTGAACTAGATATTACTATTTCGTATAAAGTTTGCTTTAGATCTAAACTAAAGCGGATCACAAAAACCAACGCCCTTATTAGAGGGTAGGGCACCTTTGGTACAATCTCATTATACATATATATTTTTTATAACGAAGGTATTTAAATAAAGGAATGTTAAGATCAAGGACGCCTTGACCAGTGATCCATGAAGAATAAGAAAACCAAAACGAAACAATTGCAGATTTTTACGGTGCACTTGTACTCGCCCCGAAATTGCATGATAGACACTTATTTTAACTCAAACTTCTCTTAAAAATTACCTCCACATGTTATTGCATCTGACCCGGAAAGATCAAAGAATTAATTTAATTTAATTAAATTCCTCGTAATCCTTATATGTTTTAAGGAGTTCCTGTAGGCACTTGACCAGAAAGTAAGGGTGTAATTGAACTCGTTCCGATATTAAAATATATTTAATCCTAACCCGAATTTCTTCTAGAACTTTGCAGTGTTTTACGGTGTTGTTACACTTACGTTTTATATCTGATCAGAAATTATGGTCTACTTGTATTGATAACCCAACCTAACCTAACCTAAATTTCTATTAAGATTTTCAGATGTTTTTAGTTCTTCTGCTTGACACTAAATTAAATGATACTGGTTACTTGATTTAAACCCAACCTTCTCGAGAAATATTATTTTCATCAATACACTCTCCAGTCAGACAGTTGATTGATGAAGACTGATTAAGACCTAATTATGTTTGGCATGTTATAATTAAGTATTTTAACGTATTACTTGAGTTATTCTCAAGGTAAATTTCGACGACGTTCTTCTTTTTTTTTTTTTTTAGAAAAGTCGTTTCGGTTATTTCTCTAGACATCGAATAATCATGCACGTCTTCATCTAATCGTTATTTATTGCAACAGTTTCATTTGTTGCCAATGTTAACGCTTTTAGCGACACGTAACAACTTGTCGTAGTAAAAGAGTTGTATGATATTAGATACGTAACGAGCGTGATACGTTATTGCCCTGTTGTGATGATGCGATATTCAATTTTTTTTTGTTTATTTTGTTTACCTGTCTGGCAAACTCTGTGCGAACTGTTTTCGCAGGCACGTTGATATTTTCAAAGTGAATGTGAGTGCGCTTTTTACCGTTAACAATAATTAGTCTTTACGAACTCCAGTCCAGTGACGCATATGCATATGATAGGTACCTAAAGAAAAATGGATAAAATTGAAATTATTATTACAATTAGAATAAATTGGCTTTGTCTTCCATTTATGATGTTGGCTCATTATTTAGTGTTTTTTTTTCTGGCGGGAACTGTTAAGACCAAGGAACAGGGGCGTATTTCTTCGTTAAACATCAAAGCCCGCCACTACCAAGAGCCATTAGTTCTAACCATTTCCATTATTTTAGTCTTGTTACACTTCTTATCAAAGTCTTCAATAGATAAAGATTTTTGTCGAAATTTGTTTACCAGTTATCATTTATTTAAGATTTACTCATAATTTCCAAAACAATTGAAACACGTATTAACGTCCTGTTCTTCAGAAGTCATCCTGAAACAAAATCCTAATTGAATATCGTAATTAATGAGAACCAGAACAATTAATCCTACCTAAAAATGTGTATTCTGTAAAATTTATTTGAGGGCCCCAACACCACCCCCGCTCGCCACATGAGCGGTCCTCAAATTGTTAACTTTATTTACAAATCGTATATATATATACAATTAATAAATTGAAACCAACTCTAAAACAGTAAAAACAAATTTTTTCTTCTTCGTTTCATTCTCATTTCATGATTTTTGTTGCTCTAAAAAAGAAGACAAACGATTTAAAAAACACTATCGTTATTTAATGTCTTAATTATGGGTAGAGAGTTAGAGGGGAGGTCATAAAACAGGATTAAAGGGACATTGCAGGATTTGTATCTACTTTAAAAAAAGATTCTCACGGATGATCGTGCGTGATGGTAACATCTCGGTAATAGGCATGGACATTTCAAAACGAACAATGGAAGTATCTATATAAACGCTTATCTTTTTTTTCTTTCGATAGAACAGCTACTCATACTCTTTGACAGTTTTAGAGATAATGTCAGGCAAAATCATCTATATATTGCAACATATTATGGTGGGTACCGAAATTGTTATGCAAACGTATCGGAAGACTCGCACAGCCTCCTATCAAAGACATTTTCTTCAACTGTTTCGCCACACATACGAGTATATTAATAATATCAAGCTACATCAAAGTCATATCACGAATAAAATAATTACCTTAAGAGAGTTTTATACATGTGAAAGTAGGAAATGTAAATTTTGCCCTGGAAGTCCTATCTATAGATACTGGCACGCTATGGAATAAATAAGATTATTGTACTCATTGCTAATTCAATTTGATTACTGGTAGTAGTCGTAGGTGGCCGAGATAATAAATCTGGATACACCAATAAATAATATGTTGCTTACGATTTAATGCATTTTGACGAACGCGTTTGACATTTGAAATTATTCGGCTAATTAATTTTGACTTAATTTAATTAGATTTCAATGTAACAAAACCCAAATTGAGAACCTTACGTTACACTTTTGAAAGTCAATCTTCATTTGTTTTAAAATCTCAGCAGTTTGTCGCATGTCTTTTTCATTTGTTTTTGAAGCAATTATTGATCGTAAATATAAAGTTGTTTCCTCTAATGGTTTTCAGTAGATACAAAACATATAAATACTACTAGCTACACTGACTGAGGCAATTTAGATGTTGGCAATACCTATTCTCTGGGATTCACTTTGCCCTACTTTACTTCTGTGCCTTATTATTACGTGTTTTCTCGGTGAAAGCATCAAATCGTTGCATTTAAATGCTACTATACCACTGCTATTCATTGTTCTTTTAACTTTAGCAATTTTTTTGCTATGTGTACGTATGTATTTGCGTGGGAGCCTAATCTCTGTTAGTTTACGAAAAAAAAAAACGAAGTTTCCTTAAACATGGTGCTTAGGCGAAAAAACAACTGCGAACTACCACTTTCTTATGTTTTCCAAAATATTATTGGAATAGCAACCTTACTTTGCTTCTTATAAGTATAAATGCCAATCACTTTCCCATTATTACTAAATTTTTTATTAGACTAGGTTGTAAAATGGACCTGTTCCATAACAACCAACAACTTTTTAATAAGACCTTTTATAAATTTAAATTAATTGTATTTGTCAATTGCTAATTAACGCAGCCTAGATCGTTAATTATAATCGTCCTATGACGGGCTGGAAAAACAATCACTTCCCGATGAATTTTTGTTTTAATAGAAAATTCGATTGTTTACATTCCATTTCCTACAAAAAAAAAATGAAAGAAAACAAAACAGTGACCTTCGTTTGTTTCATCGGTAGCGGAAAAAATGAAACTTCGCGAATACGAAAATTTAATGCCTTGCATCTAGATCGAAAACCGCGATTAAATTGAGCAATTAACGTCAAAACGGTCGCTAAATTAATTACGAAGTGTGCGCAAGAGTAATTGACCATTTCCTTTTCGTTACACAATTTGTAACGTATCTTGCAGAAGCAATTTTCCAATGGCTACCTCACTACTACATGTCCATCGCGAAGCGATTGCTATGATTTCGATGATATATAATATACGGTTTGTAACAAAAGCTAGAGGTCTCTATAAAAAGCATAAATTAATACAAATGAGTTTTGCGCAATTCTCCATTCTTTTTTTGCGCAAATCGATAAGGTTTTCTTTTCTGATAACAACGCAACCAACAAAGTATAAGTAATAATTTCCGTAAATAAATGAAATGGCGATTACTTCTTAAAAATATGAAGGTGTCCTAAAAACAACCGAAAGTGAAACATAAGCATCTGACTAAATAAAAGTCGATCTAGTTGTAGTTGTTTTCTTTTAAAACCGATATTCTTAACGTTTGTGACGCACTGTAAATGCACGCATTCGAACGTTTTTCTTGAATTCGCTAACCATGAAAAACTTTTAGCAACCAGTCAAAAAATTACCCGAATGGAAAAAAAGATCTAATTTGAATGTATTTCAAAATTTTCCACTCTTCCAGAAAGAAAACGATTTTGACATCTGCCTACATACATCCGGTATATACCTACCAATAACAATTTGATTATTTATTGTACATTATTAATAATTCATACTGCACGACATATTATCGTATTTTATTACATTTTAATTGAATCAAATTTAATTAACCCTACTTTACTTTTTTAGTTGTCACTGCTATAAGCCTAGGAGAAAGTTTGCGCTAACCTATGCATATGAACAAATAATAACTAATTAGCAATTTTCTTTGGTTAATAATAAGGCACCTTTATAATAATAACATTTTAAACGCTAATAACCGCTTAGAATGAACCTAAACAATCCTGCAATAATTATACTGTATTATAGGTATATTTAGCAACAATAAAAAAAAGTATGATGATATTGCACCGACATCAGCAGTTGTTTTTTCGCCTTGCAATTGTTTAGCGTTCAAGTTTGTCTCGCTTGAAAATCAGATGTTCTAATTGTAATTTTTTGTATATCATAATAATTCGTTCGTGACCCGGTGAACTGTTCAATTTCGAAATAGTTTGAATGAAAAAATGCAATTATTCCAGTTCGTGACTGTATCGAACGGGTTGAGTTACGTAAACTCTGTAGAGAGGTTACACTTTTCATCCGTGGCAAAAGTGACAAAAGAAGATCGTGTTTAAAATACGTATGTGCAATAGTACTTAATAAAGTGAACGTAAATGTAGTGTCATAAAACTGAAATTATCAGTTTCGTCTTTTGTTTTTTTTCACAATAATTATGATTCACTTGTCACTTGTAGATGCCATTGTCCTGCGACTGTCCCGCGACAAGACCGGGGCCCACCTTAGCGTCCACGTGTGGTGGGACTCCCTTCATGCTATTCATGGGTCTCCTCGAGGTGTTCCTGCGTTCCCAATGCGACATAGAAGACCCCTGCGGTAGACCCAAGTCGGCCAGTCCGTATCCAGAGTACGATTTTATCGTCATAGGCAGCGGCTCGGCAGGATCCGTGGTTGCAGGACGATTGTCCGAAATACCCGAGTGGAACGTTCTACTAATAGAAGCTGGTAAATCCAAACGAAATCTCTCAACACCATTTCTGTCAACTGTTATCGTTTATGTTCCAGGCCAGGACGAACCCACAGGAGCGCAGGTGCCGTCCATGTTCTTGAACTATTTGGGAACAGAATTGGACTGGATGTACTTTACAGAACCGGAAAAGGAAGCTTGTTTGAACGAAAACGAACAAAGGTGTTATTGGCCCAGGGGCAAGGTGACGTTTTTGGGTCGATTAAGTTGTATAGTTTTCTCCAGGGTGGCGGTCAAATAAATAATTAAACAATTTTATGTTTTTGTTACGTTTCGGTTTATTCAACCATCTTCAGACTGAAAAAAATTTGTTGTGTTAAAGTGTTAACACTTTAAATGTTCTTTGACTATCAATTACATTTTACTAACAAATGTATAGTACGTAATCTAGTAAAACAATAAGTTAAAAAAAAAACAAAATTTTTTCAATCTGAAGATGGTTGAATAAACCGAAACGTAACAAAAAACATAAAGTTGTATAATTATTTGGCCGCCATCCTCGAAAAACCATATAATTTAAAATTAACGATCTTGTAATGACCTTTGGATCCTTAGGTTCTTGGTGGTACTTCGGTCATAAACGGTATGATGTACATAAGGGGTTCTAGACACGACTACGACAACTGGGCGTCCCTGGGATGTGACGGTTGGAGTTACAACGATGTGCTGCCGTTCTTCCTGAAAAGCGAGGACAACAAACAACTTGACCTGGTGGATCGAGGATACCATGCGGAAGGAGGTCCAGTTGTTATCTCCCAGTTCCCGTATCATCCGCCCCTGTCACGAGCCCTCGTAGAAGCCGGTGGTGAACTAGGTGCCTACCGCTTCCCAAATCGTTCAATTTTTTGTTTTCTTAACGTTAGGAGATGTTTCAGGCTATCCAAACAGAGACCTAAATGGACAGTACCACACGGGCTTTGCAATCACCCAATCGACCAATATAAACGGCACCAGACAAAGTACCGCTAAAGCTTTCATTCGACCATACAAAAGCAGGAACAATCTCCATATTTTGCTGAACTCTACCGTCACCAGGATTCTCATTAATAAACGCAGTAAGTCGGCGTACGGCGTCGAAGTGGTCAGCGAAGGAAAAAAACAATCGATATTTGCCACAAAAGAGGTCATTCTATCTGGAGGTAGGGAATATTCCCCCATTCGTACAACTTCAAAGTTTGACACCGAAATTTGCTTTATAGGAGCAGTGAATTCTCCACAACTCTTACTCCTTTCTGGCATTGGACCGCGAGAAGATTTGGAACAAGTTGGAGTCCCACTGGTTCACCATTTGCCTGGCGTTGGTAGGAACTTGCAAAATCACGTCGCCCACTTCCTGACGTTCAACATAAACGACACCAATACGACCCCCTTGAATTGGGCCACTGCTATGGAATATCTGCTCTTCAGGGACGGACTCATGAGCGGCACCGGTAATTTTATTTCATCATCATCATCATCATCATAAGGTCATCAGTCCTAAGACTGGTTGGACACGTACCTCCACTCTTTCCTATCCTGAGCTAAACTTCGCATTTCCCTAAAACTAGAACAGCCCACATCCTTAACTATTTGCGAA